ATTGAGGTAATGTAATATGAAGTGAATTTAGATATAAAAGATGTAGACGACGACGAATAGCAGTGACCAGTATTATTTCTGATGAGATTCTGATTCGAATGGAATCGACTGCAATATTGCGAAGTCAAAGGGAAGAACGGATAAAAGAACAAACAGAATAAATGCTGATCGTTGAATAGCATTTGATGATGCTCAACGTTATGTTAAGCAATGAATCGATATTATAGGTTTCCTTTCAGTGATGTAGTTTTATAATTGAATATTTTACAAATACTTTGGTGATACGAATGCGTTTACAGGTAGGAATCAGCCGATATTGATGACAGATAGATGAATATGTTGCGATTATAGAATAGGATGAGCTTGTTCAATCCAATTTGCGCAACAATTACAACTGAGACGTGTATGAACCCGAATCAATTCCACCGAATAGACACATAACGAAGGTTTGAAACCAGTACACGCACAACCTTCAATTCAACGTGGTGATAATTTTTATACATCACTTAATCATTTACCGCTTCATTTAACGCACTGTGTTCAAATATCGATCAATTTCAGTTCGCATACACAATCTGCACATCATCTACAATGCATCTTCACAAACTTATCAATGGCAAATGCAATAATCCGTTTAATTTTCCCAATGAAAGATACCAATTTTCAGGTCATCATACAACATATGAAAAGATATTCAAATAAACTACCACATTTAGGAATCCCTTTCATTCACAAAGACGTGTGACTCTTTCATACCCCATTAAAAACCCTTCCGTACATATCTGAGAGGGCACAATAAATGTTTACGCAGAAAAGTAATGAAATGTATTCACCTGCAAGGACAATGTTCTTCCATAAAATCGATTACTGTGCCCTCAGAATTAGTTAGTCCCCTAAGATTTGAATAAATGCCGCTAAGAATGATACAGTCACGTATCTAGTTTCATGTCTCGTCAGTGATCTACCTAATAACGAATGGTAAGAATATACGTAATATTCAGATGGTAATCTCCTCGTTCATTAAGGATGCTGATGCCTGTAAGATATTTATCACTTGTTCTTCAATCCCGTACCTACCTATTCAAGGATTTAACTTCAACGTTCAATGAGAATGCTTTGTCCATAACTAATGGAACTTTCAACGCTGCCGACTAAAACGGGTTTCATTCGATGAGTTTTCAATGAAAAATCAAACCGCTGGATTGCAAACAACGTTCAACTGTGCCGGTTCAAACACACGAAAAAGTGAGCACACCTAAAAGGATATTTTCCTATTCTGTCGTCGACGAAGACTCTTATCCCGATGAAAATTGCACCTTCCCTCCACGCTATCTTCTCAACGCAAGAGAGTTTGCAGCATGAAAACTAAAGCTCAACAAACCAGTGTTTTTTACCTAAATAATCACAAAAAAAACTTCACTAAGGATATTTCCGTTACTGTTCATATATTATTGTTCTTGAAGCTTACCATGCTATTTTTTACGCAGCATTATACGACTAGAGTTGATAGTGCTTTTCACATTGAAGTAAAATTTATGAATAATGAAATCTTATTTACTACTTTACACTCAAGCTTTTCGACCCTTTGGAATGAACTGTGTATCTCTACCACATTAAAACTGGGCAATGAGTGTATGTGATGATGCATACAGTCGTCCAGAATTAACATTTCAATAAACCAACGGGGACAGGACGAATTAGTCGTAACTGAAGTGAACGACTCATAAAACGGTTATGGATATGACGGACAAGTAATTGGACAAGTACGACGTGAAAATATCAGAGTTGTCATCTCAGCACACGCATTACGAATCGCTTTATGTTTTTTTTTTTTAATGAGATGAATTGTCTAGTTAATTAATACATGAGGACAAGTCTAGAATTTATGTTACGATATTGTCACTGAAAGAGAAACCAAAAACGCTTCAGCTTTCAACTAAATTTGGCATAGATCAAGACAAAGTATTAGCAACAATTTGCAGTGAAGTTTTCGTCAAATTAACTCGTTCAGATTTAAGTTGTTTTGCAAACAAAAAAATCCCAGTTCAGTTCTCGATGAACGCTTGAAGCGATTCACGTAGTTCTCATAATTTTTGAACGCACTTTTTCGTACATCTTGCTCTTCATTGCAAGATCAATGAATGAAACGAAATAAGCTAAAATTTTAACGAAATAAAAAATTCAGACCGATCACTTTACAAAAGTAAAAATCAGATGACACCATTTATGAACGAGACGACTGCTTTCAAAATACACTGAATAGGTGACGAAGCCGAATACGCTAAGCCGAAACTCTTACTATTCAACAACTCGAGACCAGTCAATTTCTAATTCTAATTAGCATAAAAATTATTACAAATTGATTGTTTGAAGCGATTGTTTCACCAATCCTACAGTCATCAGTTAAATTTCTTTTGCCGATCAACTATACTTCTGGTCACTCTGATAATCAGAACTAGTTCATCTGCAATCATTCATCGTTTAGCACTAACTGAGCACATTTGTAAAACAACGCACGCACATATGGAGACTGAATCATATTGCACATTTGTGGAATATGCAGTGAAAAACATTAGTTCGTGACAACGTTTTAACTTCCTATAAATCGTAAAACTTACAAACGGCTCCGTATTCGCGCCTTGTAAGCATAGGCTTAAATGCACATCTATTTGTAAGAGTAGGCCTTAGTTTACGCTCGAAGCTGATTCAAGTGAATGAAACAAAAATACGCCTATGTGATTTACAGATTAGTCTAAATTGCAGCTGTCTCAATTTGACTGGCATGGAAACACGTCTCAATTCCAAAGCTCTTGTACACGAAGCTAAAATAACGATTACGATATAAAGAAACAGTAACGGAACTCGGGAACCAAAAACAATAAAAGGTGCTGAAAAGTACAAAATTACACTGATGTATTTTTACTGTATGTATTTACGCTAAAAAGCATCAGTACAGCATGCTTATCAGCTATTTCCTTTCATACTAATAAGTCGTTCTCCAACTTACATCATGACGCCTAGAATCAATGCCCTAAGCATGCTGATATATTCCCATATATCCTAGGCCTTATAAACACGAATAGCCATTGCTTGTCCATCCATGACAAAGAGATGATGCGGTATATAGCCAATTAGACTGCTTGCTTTGCATACGCTAGGCAATTATGAAAAAAAAAATTTGCAAGATTCAAGAACAGTCACCATAAAAGCACGTACCAACTTAATGTAAAAACAAACAAAAAAAAACAAACGAACAACAGAACTGTAATAAATTCCAATCAATAAATGAATACTATTCTACTATCAGATGAAACGATATCAATAATAATTGTGCTCATGAACAAATGCATCACAGATGTACTACAATGATAACGATATTTAAAAAAAATATTTACAAGCTGTAATTATAAGAAATATCAAAACGAACATGCTCTAGAAGTTACAAATTAGAATAAAAACAATCAATCGAACAAATAAATAATATCCACACAAACATCAAAATGCGATGAACGATCGCATCATTTCATTCATATACCCTCACCCTCTAACCCATCTCTCCTATATCGTTTATTCTCATAAGGACATAAATATACAAACGCACCACAGACGCACAAAGCGATCATACAAACTCTACTATTCTTGCTGTGCTACCATTACTACTACTTTTATTCATTTCATCTCAATTTTGCTCTTTACTATTGCTGGGAATATCGCTGTTTCACATATAATAGAATAAAATTCATCTCGTTCTTTTGAATGCTCATTCACTTAATAGGTTAAATAATCGCTCTCACGATCAGCTCCTGTTTGTAAAAACTTGAGAAATATATATTTCATATTCAATACGCCCTTTTCCCTTGAACAGATCTCCAAGAAAAACCCGCCCATATACTCTATACATTCAGTAATCCGTGAGCAACGATACCCAAGCTCCGGGGCCAAAAAACTTTTTCCCCCAAAAAATATCACAGCAACATTCAGTGACCGGAGTTAAGATTACTATTACTAGTTTTTTCCGGATATGGAGTCGGAATTTTGTAACATGCTGAGTTGGACCTGGAACTAAAATTTTTAAAACTGCAGAGCAAGAAGCGCAGATAGAGCCGAAAATTCTAAAAACGCATCGCTGCCTTTGAGCGGATTTCAAAGCGGCATTTGTTTCGTCAATCGAGAATGTGATTTCACGCCGACCATAAAACGATACTTGAACGCGCATTGGTACGGATTCAGTAGTTTTATCAACTTTGTATATTTATCAACCTTCTTTCTGCCACAAAAACTACTTTTTAATTGAAGGGGAGCGGTATATATGCATAGAAGATGTCCAAGCGGATGGCTACATGTACAGAAGTTTTCTAACGAATCAGAAAAGTGTTGAAATTTGATAACGGATTATCATCTGAATACGCTAATATCACCAAACGAACAGCTAAGAAATGAATATTCGACTCTAGATAAGATGAAGAGAATGTGTTGGTGACATAAAATAAAGTATCTAAGAATTTATCTCCTATTCGATGGAAAATTTGGATTAGCAAAAAACAAGATGAAAATGGAAATTATCTGATTTGAGCACAGAATCAGATAATACTAGGAAAATGCAAGCGGATAATTGTACAACACGGTTGAATGTATCGGTCGGTACCAATTAAAACCATTGTAAAATGATTTGTTTTACAGCTGAGCTGAAGTAAGATATTACGGAACAGTGGGAATAAACGAATTGAAGAAAACATATTTAAGATTTCCTATCGATACTCCAAAAAATACTCTTTAAGCAATTTGCCACAGCAAAATCTGAAACATTTCTCAGTATATAAAATTAACCTAAATTTAGACATATGATATATGTACACATACGGTTTCTATATTCCTTGATTGCATCAAGCATACATACGCTCGTAATGAACAATGTCACTGAAAATAAATCCAAAAATTGTAAACACTCTTATTATGCGAGTTTTGTCTTACAGACGTAATCATTAATTCCTACGAGTAAACTACATTTTATCGATGAAATTCTCAAAATCATGTGGTGATGTATAACCAATCAATTCATCTAGCTCTCTTGTATAAGGCACAAGGTGCCATTTTATTTGACGCCATGTGCATCCTGATGGCGCTATGAGCTGATCTATCAAAATATCCAATAAATGCTGCTTGTCATGTGCGAAAAATGGAGAATTTGAATGTTCAGTGCATATGTATGCGTCAATTTCCGTGAGTGAGTACATTACCAAAATGCTCACACAAGAAAATATCCAATAAAATCACTGAACCTCCTATTTGGACAGCTTTTTTGGATCACTGTTCTGATACCTAGAAAATTACAAACAGATTGGTTTGCTTTCGAATGTAAAAAGTCAATTAAAGAAACATGGCATCAACAGGTAGGAAACAAATTTGTTGATCGTGTAGAAGCGATTAAATAAATTCAGCAAACAGGCGATCAGCATCAAGCATATCATCCATAATGGAAATAGCAAAATTAACTGATCAAATGTATTCCTTACTGATTATATCATCAACAAGCAAACGAAAAAACCGAACAAAATCATCGAATCTCAATTTGGTCACTCTGAAAATTTCGATATCTTCCTACTAAAATAATACAAATGAGAATGTGAAATATGTCTTTGTAGGAATAGACCAGATAACCAAATACACCTATGAATAATCGAGGAAGTGGAATTCAACTTCAAACAAATTGAATGCTATCAGAAATGATAGGAAAACATTTTCATTATAGCCAAATTATGTATAACGCTTTGACTGCCTTCTCCGAACTGGAGCATTATTCAAAATAGCGTTACTCGGAATTCGAAAATTATACGAATTTTTGAGGCCCGGAAAAACAAAACTCGTATTATCGAAACAATCTTATACCGAGTACATGATCTCATTGTATTCAAATGACCAAGAATCAATCTTCAAATATCTGCACACATCGATATATTCATTTCAATTCCATGAAACTTTGCAAAATGTTAACTGACGAAGTGGCAAACGCTGTGAATGAGTGGAAAAAAATCATTTTACGAATTTATTTCAACAGAAGAATTTTTTTGAATTTTGTTTCAATATGAGTTAGAAGGGAACTTGAAAAATGAGTGTGATGAGACTGCTAAGAGTGACTTTTTGGAGAGCAGAAGATGCGGATTAATAAACGCATACCTTCATTATTATCACTTTTTGACGCTCGATCCACATGCTGATTCGCTCGGAATGAGCTTGTTGATATTGTGTTGTTAGAGCGCTGATCCACATTATCCTCATCGCAATCATTTGGTGTTATCTTTTGATTCTGCATTAAATTTTTGTTGAATATGATAAACTTCCATATGAATAATATGTTGAATGCCATGTAAGTTAGGATTGGTAGGAAACACAAATATCAAAACATAAACAACTTCAAATTATCACGCTCAAAAAATGCCTCTTGAAAAATTATACCACACAGTTTCGAGCGTTCTGCGATGATTGCTGGTGAATCTTATTGTTTTTGGTTTGCTTCTCCTCTTCATCTCGATTATCTGTTAATTTTCACTTAATCATGAATCGTTCCACTCTTATCGTTTGAAATGCTCGTTTTTCTCCACTGATTTTAAAACAGATTCTGGTGAAGAACTTGAACTTGATTTTATCATGAAATATAGACCATAAAAATCTCGGGTGATACAAACTTATCAATTTCAAATGCACCCCTCGGCTTGGAAAGTGTTTGCGTAATAATCTTAATGTAATAATCTTCCGCTTAAATTCAAGAATATTCCCATGAAAAGATAAACAGTGGTGACGTGAATGAATAATGAAAAATTGAATGAACAATAAAAGATTTTTGACGAATGCGATTACACTGCATGTGATATGGTGTGGCGAATGATGTTGTTTTATTGACGAGTACTGGTAAAGAAGATGGTTTGGATAGTTGTGCCATTTCTGGATGGAACGAAGGCGGCAAAAGATGATCGTTCTCGTTATCAACATTTGACTGACTTTTTTGAATCGTTTGCGGATAAAGACTGAAATTGTTTCATCGAAATTAATGCCAAAAATAGTACAACGACTGATCGCAACGAAAAAACCATACGATTCTCCGACAGAATTCTTTGAGAAAGCTTTCGCGAATATGTTTTGTGAATGTTATATTTAATGGGTGCTGAACGTTAATTGTTCGAAAAGATTTGCAACTATGATATTGGAGTATGATGGGCATCGAAGTCATTTTGAAAAGAATGGGCTTTCGATCACGATTCAAACAGCTTGAAGAGTGTAAGGAAATGAACAATAAACTGAGATAAATGACACAACCTTTCAAGGAATCGTAAATATGGTTCAATAATTTCGTATGGTATCATAAAATAATTGCCATACGTTGATATAGGTAGACGATGATTATCACAACAGTTTTCATGCAATGGAATATTCGTCGAATCGAGATTTGATGCATTACACTGGAACTGAATATCAGTGCTGTTAGTATTGGTTGATGGATTCGTTTGATTGCTGTACGTGTTCGTGTAACAACAACCATCACAAAGATTTTTTTGCTGTCGACAAAGTTGTTGGTAGGCGACGGCATGTCGTGCCGCACAAATCGCTGTCGTTAGTGCCGTGCTCTGGTAGCAACCATACCAGTGATTTTGCGCTGCTTGCTGAACATAATAATTCGCATAATTGTTGTTCAGCCATCGCTTATCGTCGTTTATCGCACATATTTCACAAGCACAATTATTTACTGGTGGAACATATTGAAAGCAACCATTTTCACTATCAGTACTACTTTTGTTCATAGTGTCAATACCGCTACTTGTTGTGCTTGTGGATAAGGATGATGGTGATGTGTCACGTTGTTGCTCTTTCAGTGAATCAACATCACATAACAAATTCATTCGAGTTTGACGCGACATTCGCTTATTCATAGCTTGTTGCTTCTTGATGTTCGCTCGAGATTGTTGTAGTTGGTGTAACATCACATATGAATTCGATGATAAACGAACAATATCGTTGCTGAATGATGGTGCTTTCAAGAGGGAATTTGTATCAACAACTCTATTATTATTATCAACAACTACACAACCAGCTGTGTTGATCTGATGATATTGAAATTGCTGCTGCTGCTGCTGCCGCTGTTGAATATTTGCTGCACACCAATTATTATTATTTTTACTTTTAGATTTATTACTTTTTGTCTTAAATTTATTATGTGTGGCAGCACGAACAGGTTGGATTCGTTGATGCAGTGTTGAAATGTATTCTTCGTCTTCTTTCGAAGAATTCACTTTCAAAAGTAGCGATTTATTCAAACAGTTTGCTTCAATATGTTCGTTTGCCATTCACTAACCACAGAAGTATAATAACAGACTTCTGCGAGATATTGAGATCTATTAGTGCGAATCGAATTAATAAAGCGCTTTTATTAAAAGAGTAAGAAATGAGCAGATAGATATAAACCTAGCCTAATCGTGTCGTTGATGCGGATCAATGAATCAGTTCCGATCCGCTTCGAATGTTCTAATGAACAGAAATATGCGAGTAAATCTTCTTTAAATAATGACGATAATTGCAAATACCGAACAGTGATAATCTGATTTGATTATATTCCGGAAATGTTGATAAGTTCAGCTAGAAGACAGACTTGATATACTCACAAATTTTTCGTCTTTCTTTCCCTCTACCCAAGCGACAGACAAAAGCAGCCAACACAGCCGTCGTTATGCCAAGTTGATCTGAAATTCAATTCAAACATGCGAATCGTTATAATCCTCATATGTTGAAAAAGGATTCGAACATTAAACACAATACAATCGATAATCGACACTATGTTTTCATTAGCAATCTTAAAGTTAGTTTACTCAAATGTGCACATACTGACATAGAACACCGATTGAACATTTCTGATCTCATTCTTATTTCACAACTTATAAATAGCGATCATTAGAAGTAATCGGATTTGCACGAAAAATTTGAGTGAATAACAAATATAATGAAACAATACTGCATCAATGAAAATATAGTAGTAGAATCTAGGTAAGGGTAAAAGTGTGATAATAGCAGTATAGAATCTGTAAGATAACGTTTCAAGAATTACAGTTTTCTTCTGTATCTTTTGAGAAAATGATTTCTTTCAACCGAATTCTTCCACGCATATCGCATAATCATCCACAAATGATATCGCCATTTCGTGTGTATACTTATTGCTTTTTACACAACATTTTTCGCAGACTTCAGAAAAATGAGCAGTTATGTTGGTTTAGACGTCCGGCTGTAGATAAAAAATGAAATGCTTACTCAGAACGGATGAGTCAAATAAAGGTTATAATTATTACGACTTATTCAAACGAAATAATGGACTTGTTTGCAGTGGCCTATGATTGATGACAAATGAAACCGAAACGGATTGCTTCATATCTTATCGTATCTTCAAACAAACTTAAACTTTTCGATGAAGACTACGTTATAAGCGGGTGTTCAGCAACTCCTCTTCCGCCTCCGTTAAAAAGCCGCACGTTCGCTTTCCTCCACCCTGTCCTCTAGAAACAAGCATCTACCTGAGTCGTCAGTCCAACACCTACGATATTTATGAGATCATCCGTTTAATCACATTATTTCATTCATCATTTTGGCGATGGAATTACATTTGGTATTATACTTAATGTTGCCTTTTAATGAAATAAATTGCTAAGAATGCTTGTCAAATTAGATTTTTTACCCAATGTTTGGTAGATGTTCTCAGATTGTATTTAGGCACATCAATAGTACATGTGCAAACAATAATTGTAATTTTTCAAACGAATCGTTGCATAACTAGTTTTATGTATACAAAAACGATCACTGTTTAAGTTTCAAAAAGTTTGAAGAGTGTACAGTCGTATGCGTCTATTTGATAGATGAATTGTGAAAGGCACGTCGAATGAAAGAATTAAACAGTTTTCTGAGGATATATATGCACTGTGGCTGACTGTTCACGATGAGAACTGATCAATGATGAGGGAGTGTTGGTGAAATAAGCGATTAAAGAAAAGATTATTGAATAAATCAATAGCTCTACTATTTAACAATATCCGAACAAAGCAATTCTAAGAATTTTCATTGAATTTCACGAACATGATTGAATATTCAGTTTCATCTAAATGCGAACGGAGTGAAGGAGAAATTCAGACAGAATTCGTTAATATTTTGTTTGAGAAAAACACTCAAAAATCAAATTCAGAATTAATGCATCGAAACGAATTTAATTAGAATTTGATATCAATCAAATAAATTCATCTGATAACTGAAATTAGCTGAATTGAAACGCCAATTAAAAATTACGAACCAATAAATATAACAGTAGTAATTAATGATACTAATTATTATTATTTAAAAAATAACAATACTAAGCAATAACAAGAATAATAATAGGATTGATATTAATAATAATAACCTTTCAAAAATCCAATCAATAAAAAATATATGCGTTCATTTCAACAGATCAACAGAATAGAACGAGCGAATTTTGAGTGAACATTCCTTCGTCATCGAGTTTAAACTGGATTTTTTCAGATGTGATCGATTGTAATGATGTTGAGGAATGAATTTTTCATTTTCTTACGACCGTCAAAAAATTTGAATAAAAATATTCAACGGAAGTGAAAACTGAATCGTTAGTAATTATTCATTCGAATAGCGATAAGCAAAAAGAAGAAATATGACTTTGGTGTTCAATTCAAATTTATTCTTTATAAGCACAAAACACAGCATTCATGCAACAACTATAAACAAACAATAAGATGCTAAGCTGTTTTCATCGCCAAAACTCTATTACTGCCATCGATCAAAACTGTGAATGCACGCAAATGCACTTCATTCAGTGGACGAATTATGGCGAAACTCTCGAAACGTGATCAAAATGACATTCACAATCGTTTGTTCAGTACGTTACACACATCAATAGACTAACGTTTGTTGCGTCAATAACATTTTAAATCTATACTACGGATTATGAACAACATTCTTTCGCTGTCAGCTAGCAAAATACTCAAAAATAGTTAATGCAATGAAATAACAATAATAACTGTTATCGTTATTATCAGTCTCATACGTATTATTAATAATAAAATAAACGCAGTAATAACAATAACATCGGCGAAAACAAGTGGATAGGCATATGAAAATGATGACGCAAAAGCATAAATAAGCGACTGGGGCAGACGAGAAGTCAGAAATATATCAATCGCAATTGAGTGCATGAACGAACCGAACCGCAGCACTAATAGCACTCTAGCAGCTTTGAACAACTGGTGCTGGTTGGCTTTGTTCTTCTACTGGACACAACAACGATGAGGGTTTAAAAAATACTAAACGAAATCAAGCAACCAGAAATATCTACAAGAATATTATAATTACATGCAAAATAGCACACTACTTTGTGTGTTTGTTTCATTACGACTAGTCAATACCAAATTAAAGGTATTCAATATCATGCATTATATCGTAAAACATCTTATGTCGTACACATAAAAGTACACTATGCATGATATTATCAAATCATCCTATAATATACAGCAAAGCAAGCGTGTAGCGAAGTAGACTAATACTCTAACGATGCTTAATCCTAACAACAAGCGTAAGCATTAGAATGTTGGCATAACGAGTCTAGAATACTTGATATCGGCGATGTGTACACCAGAAATCGTGTGCCTCAATCCCAAACGTATGATGATCTATTGGCGTACGTAGAAATTTATTTACGTTAGGGCAGAAACTGAAAAAAAAAATTGTGTGTAGATAATGGAAAGGATATGCAAATCTAGTCAACTAAATGCAGCGCAAAAAGTATATCAACGATATAAAAAATACCCATCTCGAAAGAAATTTCTTTAGAAGTGTTATTTAATTCCTTCAATCTCTACGTGTATAGACCAGTGTTTCCCACTCTTAGGTGCTCCATCACCCCCTTCGATGATCTGATAGCCATCACTGCCCCCTCTCCCGGTATAATAATTTACCATTTCCATTCATAACGTCAGAACTAATCTCCCGTTCACCTCTATCACCCCCTGACACCCCCAACTTACTCAAAAATGGATGATTCTCCCCACACCCCCCTATGGGGACCCATGGTGTAGACGCAAGCAAGCAATATTTTTAAAGCGAAACTTGCTCTACGTAAAAGTGTCGTTCAAGCCCGGCTAAAACAATATATCACATGCAACGTGCGCAGTGATGATAAAACCAATAGTTCACATTCACAATTCGAAGAGAGGAATAAATTTGCTTTTGCATAATTTAATTTTTGAATGATTCAGTACGATAGTATTAAATTGAATATTGAATAGAACCAAATCAAAAATTGAACGTGATAGTAAAAATAAATGAATAAGTAAATAAACAGTAGCACAATGAATCAAAAACAACTCTTATATACACACGATACAATAATAATCACGTATCATCATTTCAAACAACCAACTAACTCCCTCTTCAAGACAAATAATAACACGAACACCTCAAATCGATACTTCAAATAACGATTGAAAACAAAAACGTTTTTAAATGAACACATAGACAGATACATGTTTTAAAGTTATCAACGATCTTATACGTTTCTTACCAACAAATTCCTTCTCTGAACGTTTATGTATACTCAAAAATGGTAATAATTTGCATTATACGTTCAAATATTCATTATGATAATTTTGGATGCTATCCTAATTACATGGGGATGGATGTGATTCAAAAGAAACTGCTTACAATTAGCTCTAAATAACAAAACAACGTGAACATGAAACGTTGTGTTCAATACATTCAATAAAAAAATATTTTCATCTGCAAAAGTTATGAAATAAATGTAATTCTGTAGCCAAGACAAACGCTTAAAATGAGACAATTATAGAATACGAACATTCGTAAAATCTCGTTTCGGTTATAATTCTTCAACGAAAATCGCTTAAAACGCCCCTAGTATTTCTAGTTGCATTTAATTGGGTATAGGAATAGTGGACCTTGACGTGACTCTAGCAAGATATCAGCCCATATACATATAGTATATGGACTGTATGCAAAAAGATAAAGAATGACAGAACTAAATGATAAGACGAGTATTCTATACAATGATAAAAGTATGATAAATCTCATGGCATAATGAGATCAGCGAGCGCAATTACAGAATCACCTCAGTATCTATCGAGCAATAGTCATGATGAAACAACGAACGAAAGCAGCAATGAAAATGAACCAGTTTACAACACAAACAGTTGAACCAGTTTCCAGCTGATGTTTTTACCATAGGTTTACGAATGAAAACGATTTTTCAAATAGATTTCATTCAAATTCATTCTTAAACGCTAGAGTTTATCTTCGAATAAGTTGAAAATTCATTGTGCCACATTTGGTGAGCATCTAGAATAGTTGAAAAGATGATGAAGAATATATCCTAAGCAATATGATGTGCTCACTTCCCGATCGCTTACGTTCGATAAACTGATCACTACGAATTCATTGACACTGAAAGGACATGTCAGAAAACAATCGATCATAATTCACCGAATGAATGCATCATAATAAGTATGCTCGCATAAAACGTTAGTTAATACAATGCACAACAGTAATACTCAAAGCGGTGGGCTGTTGATGTGGCATGAATGAGACTATAATCAAACAGCTCCTCCAAGGGAACGTGAGGTTCGGTATCATGATTGAAAACGCTTTTGCTGTGCGGACAGGACAATGATACGAGTACTCTTAGTGACATTGTTAAAGAGGTTCATGAATTACCGATCACCTATGAATTTCGACTTTCGAACCGAATACTGATGAATGATAACAATGATTATAAAGAATGCATTACATGAACGAACAATCAGTATGAAAAAGTGCTAAAGATAAATTTCAGGAACTTTGAAGCAACTAGAAAATTAAAACAAGAGATGGAGTGTACAGATCATATCAGACAATCATTCAACACGCTACTACGTTTCGCAGTTATCGTTATCTGATGTGATGATTAATCCTACAAAATCTCACTTAAGATGAATGTAACACCACTCTGAACTTGAATGCAACTCAGCAGCACAGGGATCAAAACCATAGAGATGAAAAGAACAAAAATCAATCAGTCAAGCACATGACTGATACTGTTGATAGTCTTTTTTATTTTGACTGATTAAAACATATTTTTAATTTGTTTGGATTCACAATCAGAAACACCGATTAGGTTTGTATCAATTACAATATTATCAATACAAATGCACCATGGAATACACACTGAATTCATTTGAATTTAACCAGTACATACAATTTTTTCAGTCAGCATTAATATCAAAATAGCACAGGTGATTAGCAACGCAATCGCTAGCGATAACACGGCATGAAAAAATACCGTGAGTTTTGAAANATTTTGTTAATCCTCAACCAGAAATAGGTTCAATTATGTGATTTTTCATGCGATAAAAACAAAATAATCAGTAACAAAAATGAAAACTAAACATGTATTGATAGGATTCAATGAATGTGAATGACATTAACAAATTCGTTGTACATAATACAAAATGATTCGAACGACTGCTGAACATGCTATCCGTGTTGTTTCCGTTCCATATCCAATCAAGAACCGATGAATCAAATAAACCATTAAATCAGTGATAACACCAAATCACCTTACTTAACATTCTTAATCGGACTTATAATTTAAAAGATGATTTCTGCAAGCATTGATACACAGCAATTTTATTCGACAATAGCAAAATTCAGATTGCGCTGTTGATATGCAATGAAATGTTCCTGCTGGAATTCTGCTTGAAACCTACGACAGATTTACCCGATCGTATGCACTTGTCTTCGTGATTCTATGGACAAGAATATCAATTTATTGACGATATACAACTATCGTGATTGAGTTATAAAAATAGAGCGTAAATTAATCTGATGTAATTGAAGTGGATTCATTCTCTATTCTTAAACTGAACTAACGAACATGTGCAAGGATCGCATTGGAATAAATGGACCACGATATTAGTTATCGCAAACGTTTCTTTAACCCTAAGGGACCATATTCAATAAGTGAATAATTGAAGGATATTTTAATGCTTGATATACCTCTACCTTCAGAGTGCAAATGAAAATGCTGACATTCATGACAACACTTCTATTTTTATGAATTAGTAACACTGACAAAATACCTTGAAACGTCACGTTCATCAAATTGGATTACTGCCACCTACAGTCATAACGTAAACTTCAGAGCATACAAACATTTCGCTCGGAAATCATGTCCACTTCACGAATGTTATTCGTGCAAACAAAATCGTATTTGTACGATTCTCGCTCCTCATAAATTGAGACGAGCGTTGAGTGGAAAAATACAATATTATTGCAAAAATATCCGATTGGACAAAGCATCGGCCGTTTAGCTCTTGAATATTTTCACTGAGAATTTTTTGAGATATGGCAAATAAATTTTAACGAGCCAACAGAAATAAACGTCGTACGGTCGTCTCGATGAAGCTAGATTTCTAACAGCCCTGAAGGATCACAGTAACGTTCTCGCACAGGAGAAGTTTCATCTCAAACGGAACTTTTCTACTTCTCATTTCCCTCCTCACTTGTTCGCCTTATCAGAGGCTCACTTTCTACTGTTTCAGCCATTCATTTTTCGTACAGACGAGTAAACTTCCATCACTGTAAGAGGAACCGTTTTTCGAGTGCTGCATTATTTGACTTCTTGTGATTTATACGGTGAAAGTTGCTCGCATCGAATCACGGGCTGGTCACTACTTGGAGATTACGGTGGCAAAAACAAACGTTTCATATTAGGTACAAATGGATTGTGTGGGCTGATCGTACCTTGACTGTAATTTATTTTTGATGATTTCGGCGATAAGAGATAGGAAGATGACATGAAACAAACGGCCGTTCACAGAGATGAATGCCAGAAACGTAAGTATCATTTGTGTAGTCTTTAACAAAACAGCTGACTGATTGATCGATCGATCAAAGTACTGACGCTTTGAAATGTATGTGGAGGTGATTAAATCAATTCATTTGATTTTTACATCGTTCACTGATTATACTTACAGCAATTCATTCATAAACATAAACAACATTAAATGGGTAACATGAACACTGAATATGACTCAATGTACTGATCAACTTCCCGAGATCGTAAATAAAACTCAAACGCCCGCTGCATCAAAATATCCCAATCATTTAGCAGAAACAGCATCCAGATTATTCAAAAATATAACTTCACACATTATGCATGAAGAAATAATTTTCAAATCCCCTTCGCTTTCAATTTTCATTCAGCCGGCACATAATATATCACCAGAATTTGACCACTTTTGAAACATTCATGACCTCAAGCAGTACCCACAACTGCTCTTCATTTCATTCATGAACTTAAATCCAATCGTTTTTGTCAACTGCTGCTCAATGTTTTATGTTACCAGAAAAAATGAATGCTATTCTTGAATCATTTGCTGCCTTTTCTATCAATATCCTCAAATATATCACCACTGATCCCTTATCAACAGCATTACAAACAATGATGATCAATATAAACGAATGTGATTTACCCGCAAAATAATGTCATAAGTAAGTTACGATAAATGTCAGTTATTGACGACTACCAGAGACGAGTCGCCGATTTGCGTCGTCCATTGTCGACGATTCAAATAATTCATCTTCGCTGCTTTCAGAATCAGCCACCAACTCTGGTGCTAACTGCTTCACAGACAATAAATCATAACGACGGATTCGATTCCGGGAACGTCTCCTTGAAATTTTCGATAAATGCGCAATAAAATGAAGCAAAACAGATGTTTTCTTCTTTCAAGAAGATAAATGGCTAATGTTTCATCCTTTTGCATTCATTACGCAACTCTTTTTCTGACGTTTTATTTACTTCGAAGCGATATTGTCAAATATTTTATTTTGAATCAGATTCTCACGATAATGCTCACCAAAGATTTACGCATCCAAAGCATGATGGTCAAATAGCAAACCTGTACAGTTTTATTATTGCCCACACCGCTATCGAACATGTTACGGCTGCAATCACTATAGCAGATCTTAAAAAATTTCATTTACATACTAATTATATTTTCGAGGCGATCAAACAGCTCATCAGTTGAACTTCGGAATGAAACTGCTCAAAAAACCTACCGAAATAGGGCTTTGTTATCCATATCAAAAGCACCTTGCTTATGTGTCATCGTACTGGTTACATTAAAATACGGATGTGAAGTGCTCGCAGCATAATTCATGTCCATCTTGGAAAAGCATGCATAAAAATCTTATTAAATATCTCTTTCATTTATGAATTGCCAAAAACAATTATTTATCGAGTTTTTGTTCTCGGTGCTCGCGATTATTGTACAATAAAGTTATTGCAACACCCGTATCGAGTTTGTCATCGAACTTCCTGAAAGTTTGCTTTTATTGGCGAAAAGCTACCTAACGAAAGGGATAAGTGGCATTCATATTTGAAATGATCCGCTTGTCGTTCAAAAAAAAAACAACTAATAATCAGCTGCGACAAAGATGATGAATGCAATTCAATTCGTTATTCGAATATATCATGATGTTAATAAGAATAATTTCAGCATACAAAATCAGCGTTGTAATGAAAAGGAAATCTTTAGCATATTCGATTCGGAATGATTGATTAATTGGAGAACTTGAAAAAGATTTGGTACTAGTGCTGCTTTAAGTTGCCACCGCGTTCAAACACGCACGGGCGGTGAATCTCAACCCACACCATCTGAAATACATGCGTAAGCCTCATCCAATGCCTAAGCCTAAACGTACTCCTTTGCTGACATGAAATTGCCTGGCATGACGTGGAATTGCATGACAATCCGCCACGAAACAGCACTAGTGCTGAAGATTCAAATATACAATCCAATTCGGCAATATTACTGATCATACATATCAGCTCATGTATTCAATACATCTTCAATTAATCCCACACTTCTTGCATCGCCACCCGCCAATTTGATGATTATGTGCCAAAAAGGCGGAGTTAAGGACAGTTTAGAACAGCCATCGGCAACCCCAGGCCGCGGGCCAAAATTGGCATGTCTTCAATAACATTTGGCCCGCCAAATTGAAGAGTAAAAAAAAAAGAAAAGAAAAATGATTTTAAATTATTCAGCACTACACTCAAATTTCAACTAATAGACGACTAAGTGTGTCGCCAACACATACATTTTGCGCAATCCAGTAGCCTATAAATAAAGAAAAAAACAAGTTTGGATAAAAATAAGGAAAAAACAAAAAAAAACATGTTGGCCCGCCAGTCAGCTGTTTGGAAGAATTTTGGCCCGAGGCGAAACTTACTTGCTCATGGCTGGATTTGAAGGAGGAGACGGTATGGAGAGTGGCGAATTACGTGATGGTAATATACAAGTAAATCTTGTAGCGAGTCAAATAGCGGTCGTGACCAAGCGAATTCAACTGAATATGCAACAAGAGTACAACACACAATGATTTGTACATTGTTGGAAAGAGAGTTCGTATTCAGGATTTGCAAAATTCCAATGTTTTTTCAATCCCGGGATCGGGATTTAACCCTGGGATCTCGGGATTATCTCCGGATCGAACAACTTTTGAAATATCGATGCGTGATATGTTTAAACACATTTTTTGAACCAGTATGACCACAAACAATCAGAAAAGAGTTTGTTCAACAAAACATTCAACAAATACAGCATATTCAACGAATTATTCAAGTTCAAATCAACACACGCAAAGAGTAATTCTCGTATTACTCAACAAATTATTCGACATATTATTTAATGACGTGAAGCATATAATTCAGTGCAATTCAATGCAATGTATAATTCAGTGCTGTTTAAAATAAGCTCTGAGAAACGTGAGTGCGTTGATATTCCATCGCTTATTCGTGTTTTCAGTTTTGAAAAAAAAAGAAAACATTGAGAAAGCGCGTTCGTTTTCGACACTCGTTACTGAGATCGTTTTGATAGACTCGTACAATTTTTTCATATTCGATGCGGCTTTCTTTGTCCTTTCGCACAAACGCATTTCAGAGATTACTCTGCTCTTCACGTTATTGCTTCCTTTACAGCTTTCACACCTTTCGGAAGTTTCAAGGTTCAGTATCAATTCTATCTTCCTTGAGAGAGGTATATCATAGTCATTCATATTCTGAGAAGAGTCTGTTGTTATCGATGAGATTGACGCAGCGTCATCATTTTGTTCTCTCTTCGTATCGAACAGTGTCGAATATAAATCCACCATCAGCTTCACAATATTTTCTCTCTCAATCGCATACCCCATACAATCTGTTCCCGTCTGCACGTAATCAGGATCATTCATACATCTCATCAAGTGCATCAGAATTGGTATTCTACGCTCGTTGATCCTTAGCACAAGTGCACGCAAAAGGTCATTAGGGATTTTCGTATTCAATTTCTTTAATGCATCGAATCGATATCTCGACACACAATGGGTCCGTAGCAATTTCGAAAGCTCCCAGTGCATTGCATAAGTCTGTCATTTCATTCGGATTGTGCTTACTGAATTCGTATGGGAGTATCTACTCAATCTACAAGGGTCTACTCAATCTCATCGGAACATTTTACAAAATTTTCAGCATCGCGTTCAAAAAAAGGTGATGCACAACACATTTTACTACATCGAAATAATCTGGGAATGATTAATGCGTGACTCGAGTTGTATTGCATTGACATTCCTAACTTCGACTCAACTCATGGGGTTTTTACCGTAACGAGATAATACGATTAGACCATGCAACTCAAGGAGCTCGTAACATCCAGTTGTCCTGACGCAAAATGCTGAAAATTTCAATCGTGAAAATGCGAAGCTATTTGAAATTGTCTTTACATGTTAACTTGCTACTGACTAGAACTTGCTACTTACATGTTCACTTACTACTGACCGGAATCAACAATACAGCAGTCGAATATTATTGCTCAACAACATTCAACGGTCAAATGATCAATTATAGATTTGATAGAATGAGAATTTGACTTTAACTGTTCAGTGAAATGAATGAGATATTAGCAAAAGAGAACAATTTTGGTGATGAAAGCTATGAGAGCGATTGCAGTAGCAAGAAAAAGAATGAAAACCCTGTTAGGCCCGGACGATCCAATGATATCCAGAAAATAGGATGGCGTTCTATCTATTATGAATGCATGAAGTGTTACTGTCTACGACGCGCTCGCTTCAAACTAATTTAAATGAAATCTCATTCTTTTCAGCGTTCTATCATAACATAAAACTGCACGAAATATTAATTTCCTGACCATCTCGTTTGCCCGTTGACACCTTCAAACCACCCAAAACGGGTAATTTCACCCCTTAGAGAACCACTGGTATTCAATTACTGAGGTATTTAAATACATATTTGTGCTGCAACACTGCACTAAATTCGAATCTACCGAGCTCTTGTGAGCGATTCGAAGAAAAAACATCTGCAGTTGTCGGTTCAGATGTAGAGTTGGATTGTGTGGTGGTGGGTTCGAATGTAGAGGTGGATTCTGTAGTAGTGGGTTCAGATGTTGTTGTTGGTTCTGTAACTGTTGGTTCAGACGTGGAGTTGGATTCTATTTCTACAGTGTCTCTCATATTCATTTCAAAAATGCGTGTTCATCAATGAAAATTTTCAAACATTTGGTGGCGTAATGAGGTTTTTAGAGTGGGCAATAGCGATAGCTCTCCGCTATCGATTCGGGGGGTAACAGCGGTAGTGATAGCGCGATATCGTTCTTCGATAGCGCGCCCAACACTAAATTTTGCTATTCCACAATAAATAGTGACTTGAATGTGAAAAGTGTTCGAACACTGCTACAGGGGTAAACTGATACATAAAAGGTTAGAACTTTATTATCGTTGTAATATAACGGAAGAATGAATAAACTAACGAATAATAGTTGAAATTAGAGGTAAGTTTCAGAGAAAAACATCAACGATGGAAAATCATTAATACTACATAAATAAAACTTCAGCGGAAATCAATGCATTCTTCCATTACCTAGAAGCAGCCGGAAAAGAAAATTTTTCAGGTGAAAATTCACTGAATGTGATCGGAATAAAACGTGACTGTTAAACCGAGAACGGTTCAACAGTCATGGTTTTATTCAAATTGAGAAACTGTGTGAACAATTGATTCAGCAAACGAACAATATTCTCCAATCGCAAAAGAAAACCTTATTTTGATATTTTGAATTACGGGCGTGACAATCAGAAGCAAATCATTAGAATAAATGATGAACGATTTTTTGGATGAAAATACGAAAGAAACATCGAAAAAACTCATTAGAACAACGAATACGTATATTGTCAACTCATGCACTATTATAAAATTGAAATCATTAACACTGCATAAATAAAACTTCAGAAAGAAGAGAGACTACGAACAGTAGTAATACAGTTCGTTTGAAACACTGTTATCAATCCAGTCATCGCTTATGAAGCGCACTGAGCACATAGATCATACGAAACGAATTCTTTCATAAATCTTCATCAGCATAAGCACGTTTTTAGCAATTTCACATAACCTGTTCAGTTCACAATGTAAGAATTCATTTAGTCGCTAGTGATCACAACGCAATGAAAGTGATCACAATCGGTTACTTATCAAGCTTAAATACGGACTTGCAATATAATGCTGATACTCAAATAATACTGAACCTACATTCGTGACCAAGTATTCGATAGGTGGACGGAATAATTTCCATTTAATTTCATCAACATTTCTGTACTCTTCTCATGACAAGTTGCTTTGATAGAGAAACTTTCTCAATCATCATTTGAATACTGAATCAGTGATGAAGAAATAATAAAAATTTACTAACAACAAACAAACACTAATCTGAAAACAACCAATCATTCAAAACGATCATCGTAAGAAACGTCATCACGACTCTAAGGAACATCATTTATCTGATAAATATAACTATTCGTTCACTACCACTGAACTTGGAAATGACTGTATAGGGGGCAGCGAGCATGGACGAGAAGCAATGGATCAAACTGAATGAAATTTAGTGATAGACTGAATGTGAAACAAAAATTGATTGTAAGTGATCAAATCAAAACAAATAATTAAAGCTAGACCGCTCATTGCATAACAACCAACGACTACAGGTACAGAATATGAATTTCTGTAGTGAATATACTTCTACCCATACAACTAGCATGTAGCATTATAATAGCAACAACAACGAATAATTATGTTGAGAATAAATATTCAGGAGGAGAGCGGATTAAAACACTAGATAATGATCAATCGTTGAAATAGGATCTGTTCGTTGATGGACGATCGGATAGATCACTATTGATTGAAAGCATCACTAGATTCGTTTGCCTTCAGTGCTCGCTCATGGCGAAATAATGATCCGTAGTGTGTTTGTATGACCAGCACCTGCAATTTTTAACAAACTTACGACAAATCAACCAAAATCTCCACAGCACGAAACTACTGCATTCAACAGATACCTTTTCTCCAGCCTGTGATAACGACGAGTGTATCGCCCTTATGAATGAAACCTCGATCCTTACCAACAGAAATTCCATAATTTATTCGATTATCAACATCTGTTGGCCAATCCAAATCTCGATCGGCTGAATGAAACAAATTCATCGACAAAATGAAATGACAAATTCATACCCATCCTCAAATATTCAATATTTAATCCATCCGATTACGACGTTTTTCATGCAATATTTATTCAGCCCATATTCATAAAGAAACGATTGGAGGGGAAGATTTGCGAAGGTTTGCGTTGAAAGTGGCCTTTAGTCAAGGTCTGAGAGAGCACTCATCGTCAATAATGATAGAAAACTACAGATTCAGACCGGTGAACAAGATAATCAACTGTCATTTAATTCTTGAAGTAACTGCGTATATTATGCGGATATTCTAGGGCAAAGACAAATGTTTCAGAACCTTTATAATGGAGCGGGAAAACACCTCGCCACAGATGTAGTTGACGAGAAACGAAATCGTCACGAGATATCGAGAAGATAGGTATTGGTGGTCGATAACGAGAAAGAAGACCAGCCGAACTGTAATTTTGTGTTATTTGAATCAATCATTTAGGTCAAACGAATGAAAATTCGATTAAGAATATATACAGCCTTTTCAAGATCGTTTAACTGAATGATATGTAGACGAATATTTCAGGGTTGTAATTGAACAAATGAAACAATAAATCAAATCCTGATCGTGAGTAGGATACTATCAATAAAAATAGCACCGGTGAGAAGCGGATAGTCTACTCAACGGTTGTGGGTGGTTTACTGAATAGAACCTCTGACATATGTAACCAACCTAGCATAATTTAGGAATATTCAACTTAAAACGTTAGAAATGATAAGCGATATTTGGATCAAATTTTGATTCACTATTGTTTGCTTCTTTCTTCTTAAGATAATTTGATTTTGAGATCAGTGCTGCAGGGTGTGCTCACGAGAATTATTCTCAGAATCTAACTTTGACGAAAGCTATTCACTATTGATGGAATTAATCAAACTCAGACATTACCGCTTCAAGCGGAATTCCCCTGAAACGAAGCTAAAAAAAAGCGTTGAAACAAGGCGCACTATAATTTTGAACACACAGAACAGCTTTGATTACATAGAGAAACAGCCGGTCGTTCAACACATGAAAGAGAACATATGAATAATCATAGAAGATCGAAAAGTAGTTTTTAAATTGAGGAACTGTGAATGAAATTCAATGATCAGGAATATGCAATGATCAACCAATCACTATCATAAGAAAATTGTCGTTAAAATTGCAACGAGAAGAACGAAAAGGAGTTATGCAGTATGCAGGTAATCAATAAGTTCATTATTATCATACACATTCGTTGAAAGGATTGGTCGTCAAGCCTCATTCGGGTATGAATTGCGTGTCTAATAAGTATATTTGTTGAAGTTAACCTACGGTGGCGAAAATTGATTCATCTGATTCATCAGAAGAAGTTAAAAATAGTGCTGAATAATAATGATATGAATTCTTGCAAATCAACTCTGATTTTCATCAATGAAAGCATTCACGTGCTAACGAGAAAGAGCTTGCAAGCAAGTGATAACACATTATAACGTTCAATTACGGGCACAAGGCAAGATCTATCCGTACGACAATCACTTCACAAAACCACTGAATACAAACCAAGTGAAAGTGAATACGAACAGAATACAAATGAACGTATTCAAAAATAAAAAATAAAAATTAACATAAAATAACACATACATACACTATTACGATAAAGTGAAATGTGCTGTGATGTGATGTTACAAATGGCATACGACACCCACAAAAACGAACGATAAACGTCGTATCGGTAGTTGAAATATTGGATATTGGTGTCTGGCTAAACGAGGGCTAATTTGAGAAACACGATGGTGTGACACCGAGAGAGTTAATTTGATCGGAGATAATAGGTAATATTTAATAAAGTTATTTTACTAAAGATAAGATATATTTAGGCGGTATTTCATTGTATTGAAGCTTACGTTCATATTCAAGAGAACAAACTCCATAAAAGAGATGAAGCTGACGACTCAACATTGCAGATCTCGCAATTGATATGATTGGACAGATTGGTCGGCACTGCGAAACTAATGCACTTGTACTAAAAAGCAATTCGGAACGGTTCATTGCAACAACGGTTGTATAAGCGGAGGATTGCGACAATGCGCAACAAATATTGTAGTGGTGCAATGTTCAAACAAATGCATCCAAATTTCATTTCTTTTCTCGAACTACTATAAATAAGCGTGAAAAACAACCAGTTGATATTGTACGTACCGCCCAGTTGTAGTAACCAAAAGAATTGCACTCGCATGACAAGAGACAGCAGCTGAAGTAGCAGCAATCGCAATTGTATGTGCAGTATCGGTGGGTTTCGGCGTAACACGGAGAAGTTCTTCGAAGAATTTCGTATGGTACATCGCCGCTTCGGCCTCTTTGCAAATCTGGATGAAAATGAATTTAAGGCAAAATACTGAACTTGATATAGCCATCATTAGTGAGCAGTATCGATGTACCGTTTTTTAAAACAAAAAATATTCCCTTGAGAGTATTCCCAAGGAACGGCCGAAAATAATTATTATATCATGAAGTTCCATTTAAATATCTGAGAATATAACAATGGTTCCATAAGTGATTATCAAAATTTGTACTCTTAGGTAAATGTTGCACGGTATAAATGTGTATGCATGAGATTAACAATTAACTGTTGAATACCTGATGCATAATCTTCAACGCTTCAACTGGATAATCACCTTTAGCCGTTTCACCACTCAACATAACGCAATCGGCTCCATCAAGAACAGCATTCGCTACATCACTACCTATAGCTGATTGTGTCAAATCTACTGAGAAAAAATCCACTATATGGATTGACAGACGGAAGAATCTCACGATGATTTACAAGTTATGAAACTCGTCCATCAAGGTTCACATTCTGTCTTACTGGGATAAACACAGCAGCACAATGTCTGCTACAATAAAGTTCCGAAAGACCACTGAAATATGAATTCCGAAAAATGCAGCGCCTTTTCTCGTAATGGAAAAGCATAGTAGGCAGCTATAAATTTCACTAAAGCGTTAATCTTTCTGAACGAACATTCACACGTCATATATGTGCTAAGTACATGGCCTCCACCACCTATCATATTTCAAACGCATAACATTTCTGACACTACGTTAATTCAGTGGTTAGAGAAACACAATTTGGAACTGTTTACATCCTAAATATTTGTCAGCAGTACGATCGAATACCATAAAAATGTCAATGATTGCGAAATTACGATTGAACACATATGAAAAGGCCACTAAGGAACAAAATTTTTTGGTCTGTAGCGGAATTTGGGGATGCATTCTCTGAGAAGTTTTGGAATAATTTTCGTGCAAGAACGCTTAAATAATGACCTTCCGCGCGGGTCGGTCTCGGTTTCTTCACCATCGACTCCAACATTTGAGTTGCGCAAATAACCGGCTTTCCGGCTAAATTACATTTCGCGATGAGCATCTTCTGTGCCAGGAACACCTTTTCAGCAGGAATCTCAATACCCAAATCGCCTCGTGCTACCATAACACCGTCCGATTCCGCGATTATCTCATCAGCACTGAATCAAATAAACCTCTTGCATAACTCGCACTCTTTTACAGCAGAAATGAAACAGAAAACGTCACTTAATGATAGGCTGAACATCGACTTCATCTCGTAAGAATTTGATATTCATAAGAGATATATTCATCTGAATCAAATTCCGTTTTTTTTTTCAGCAATTAATTTATGCTTCTGAATCGATGAATACATTTTGTTAGAAGAGAAAGGGCAACAAATAATTTAACTCACTTTTCAACTCCTTCCTGACTTTCAATTTTTGCGATAATTTTGATGTTTTCTCCCTTTTTACCGAGTACTTTTCGGATAGTACGTACACCATCAGCATTACGAATGAACGATGCAAAAATGATATCAACTCCCTGAAATTGCCATTGCAATAGTCACTTAATCTTAAAAACCTTCCTGTTTCTCGTTTGATTGTTTCGAATTACCAGTTTCATCAAAACAACTGAGAAACAAGAGTACGGATGTTCACAAAAAATTGCTCTGCAAATTTCACTGTGGAAAATGAGCTGTGAGGTCGACGCGAAGAGGACAAACATTGGAGAAACATTAACCTGTTCAACGCCAAACTGCAAATCCTTTAAATCCTTGTCTGACACAGCTGGTAGATCAACAGGGGTTCCAGGCAAGTTGACGCCTTTGCGGCTGCCCAACATGCCACCGTTCTCAACCGTACATATGCAAGCATCATTAGCTGCAAGCGTGTTTTTTCGAAATTAATGAATCGCGATCGGTTGAATTCAAGTTTCGAACGAACACAAAATCAAAATCATAAAGTTATTCACCAATTTCATCAACAATGAGCGAGATAAGACCATCATCAATGAAGATACGACTGCCAGGCGAAAGAACCTTTGTAATGTTTTTATAATCGACGTATAAATTGAAAGCCGTCCCAGAATTTTCCACTTTTTGATCCGTTGTCAACCGTATACTCGCACCTTTCGTCAATTCCACTTCTGCTGATGGTCCCTTAAATAAACGAAATTCTTTCTTATCGTCATCGTTAAAAAAACGAAGTCACTGAAAATATTACTCCTTTGAGAAGACCCGTACGTATTTCAGGTCCTTTTGTATCCAGTGCAATAGCGACAACACGTGGATCACTAAAACTCAGCGCTGCCTCTCGTACATTTGCGATTGTTTCAGCATGGTACTGAAAAGATGAATGGAATCCGTTATTATGTCATCGAGTTATTTTGCAATTATTTCAACAACCGAAACGAACAGCAAGTGATCATACACTTTTGTGTGAATCAATGTTAATCCATTAATTCGACACATCAGCAAAAAATAAAATTGGGTCATGGTCGAAATTAAGCTCGAGTGCCCTCAACAAGGAAATATCATGTAGTATGTGACAACCTCATGTGTGCCATGACTAAAGTTCATTCGAGCGATATTCATTCCATTCAGTATCATCAACTGCAGCATCTCAACCGTTCTACATGCAGGACCTGGAATTGTTAAAATACGAAACAACTAGTAATGGGCGCAATACTGAAAAAAGTCTTTGATTCGCCTGCAAAAAAATATTTTTGTTCCACAAAAAATAATTCGCTATCGTTATTATCGCCGAAAATTATCACAGCAAAAACCTCCCACTAAAGGTGCCACTAACCGTAAGAAGTGACGAAAATTTTTCGCCACAACGCTAGTTAGCAAAATTAGTCCGCTAATCGCTACTTTCCAATTTTCTCTCAAAAATTGCAATTGCCTCACTTATTTGTGTGGGAAGAAACATCAATAAATTATCAAACAGAGGAAAATTTCACTGCATCAGAACTGTATGCGAAGCACAAAAAAAATAAATACCGCCCAACTATTGTTTCCTCATAATTACTACAAATGTTCAAATGCAAACTTTGATCTATTCCTCCAAATGAATTCGGATTCATATTTCTGTTAAAAACACGTTAAATACTTAACAAGAGGAGGCAAATCGAAAGAAAAAGTCACTTCACACACCTGGTTTCATTCACTGCTACATTAGTGTTTCTTTCCTATTTTTCAACCATTCTCCCCTTCTCAGTAGCATTTAGGAAAGTATATTTGCTATATTGTAATCACCTGCACTCAACATTACTGCACATGTTATTGTGCGACTAAATGTCTTTTTTTAGCTAGAACAAAAGCGAAAACATCACTACACAATCACGTAATTTATTCTAAGGTTAGTGAGTTCAGATGAAACGCGAGTGGTGCTCCTACAGTATGTATTCAAGTTATGAATATTCAACATTGACCCGTTAAGACGATTACGATGAGTTTGTATTCAGTACCTATTAGCGTTAAGTACTTACATACCTTAAGGTTGGACAAAATATGTATTCACTTGCAACCGAAAAATTAGAGGAAGTCTCATGAAGAAAATAATAGCTCGCTAAAACGCTAACCAAAATAAGTAGTTTAAGCTATCGCTACTTCATGCCGCTGAAAAATTTACTGTAGCAGAAGTTATCGTTACAAATTTTCGCTACTTGCTTCGAATAGAAAACGGAATATCAATGGTAAATCAGAGGACGAAAAATAAACATGATGTGTCATGCAGAGATACTTGATTCATTTTTTTAGCAGAAAAATAACTGACTGCGTGAAGCGGTTGATTGGTTGAAAAGCTCGTATCAAAACATACCGATTGTACAAACGATCCCCGTTTTTCGAACCAGTTGCGGAGGCTCACGTATTTTGAGTTTACACAAATGCTCAAGATGAGTGCTGGACGGTAAAACCTCTAACTTTTGCTCTTGTCTAAAAGTGAGCATTATTTGAAATTTGTTTTTGTATTCATGTGATGGCTGTAGATGAACAAGAATTGATCATCATTTTTAACGATCTTTTAAAACGCACCGAAAGTATTCACCACTTTGTTCTTCTTCAATTGTCATTCGACGACCGAGACGTGGTCTTGCATGGTCAACATTTGCACCAATTTGAGATCTTATCGATGACATTATACCGAGAGAATCGCTTGATTCTTGTTGCGCCATATCATCTGGTTGTTGCTCGTTCTTCTGTGAAAATATACTCTTTGTCGAAAGATAAGTAAGCTCAGTTTGAAATCATTTTCATACTCAACATTTCATGTAGCGATCGCCTAATTACGTGTCATATAATAAGAGTTCATGCAAAAATTAATTGATAACAGAAAAACTACTATTACACATATGAAGATGTGCATGTAATTAATTTTCTTCGCTTCTTAAAATAATTCTTAGGATTGCCTCTAAGTTCAACTGATGTATTCAAGACTGATCTTCAAATTTCCATTTAATTCAATTCATTCAACATTCTTCGGATTTCAGCCGACGNTTAATTTCACTAACTGCCGAATATTATGCGGTATGATCGTCAGTTAATTCAGCGCGCTAAACTAGATCAACTGAAGCACGAAGTAGAGAAGATCTTTAAAATTTGATCACAGTATTGAACCACTGACTCGGTAATTACTAGTTCAAAATACACAAATGAACAAACGAATCAGAAAAACGTTCGATGACTAATGAAGTGAATAATGTCAATACTGTCAGTGGAACATTTGAATATCCAATTAATCAAAAATCAAATACATCCCAATTCCCAAAACTAAACGACGAACGAATACAATGAATGGAAGGAACAAAACGAATACACCGCGCGATTCGCAAACAATATTCATACGAAAATTCATCCATCCTTTTCACTGCTCTCTTTTTAGAATGACAACTGGAAATGCTTCTGTTGACAATTGCAACGGCAATAGTGTTTGGTATACAGTTACAACGATTGTTATATGCATAACGATATGGCAATAATGAAAACGGAAATAAGATAAGCATTATACTAACAACAGAATCAATATTCGCATTAATGATAATGATTAAAAGAAATCAATAACTACTACGAGGAAGCAGTAATGATAATATTAACGATAGTATTACGAGAAGTAGTGAACGGAAGAAGTTATGTATTGCTGTTTAGCAAGATATGCAAACACAAATGATGAATGAAAACAAGCTTTGATTTCTTATTGAGTTAATCGTTCGAGGCGAATTCAAATTCGTTTGCTTATCAATTAAAACGATTATCATCATCGTACAAAGACCAATTTAGTGTAAAATAAATACGTATGGTATCACTGTCATAAGTTAATGTTATCAATTTTCTTGTAATCACTTCTACCACAGTTATTATCCCACAATCTGTAGAGACAGTTGGGAGAACGAAACAAATTTACTAAGTCAAACTTAGAGCGAACAAAAAAAAGGAAGAAGGAGAGAAATTTTCCCTTGCGACATAATTAATCATAAAAGTTTTGTTACAGTATTATTCGATTTGAATGAAACAACTGAAGTTTTTTATTTTCGTTTTGCGAAAGTTGCGATAATTTTAGCAGAGAGACAGCTGAACAAAATGATCGCTCAGAGCGAATCACTGCCCACTAGAAGGATACAACCAGCAATGACTGATTGCTCGAGTTGACGACAACGAACGCAGTTGACTTGGATGGGCGGACGGACGGCTGGATGACCATTCGTGGAAGCATTAACTTAGTGAATAGTAATATTACTGGAGAATATATACAACGATTCACTACAGCCAACGACCATTGCTGGGTACGCCTCTGATTATGCGCACAGAATTTATATGGAATTTTCAGTCAAATCTCAGCTTCCGTTCAATTACCACTTTGTCATTCGTATTCAAATTAACGTCTTTCACTTTGCTAGCATTTTTTGGATTGGCCAAAGGGCTTTGCTTGAAGAGTGCAGGAAAACTACAGCAATAATGGTTGAAATAGATTCATCGAGATGATATTCTTGGCTAGTAAAGATGATGATTTATTGAACTGGTTCATAAAGAAAATATATGTGATGAACTTGAACCCCTTCATGACGATTTGCTCGAGGAAATTTCTTCAAGAAAATTTAAAAAGGCAGAGAAGCATCATCTTCATAACATACGGACGTGAGTCTTACATGGACTAAGGTTCAGTCACATATTCAATTAGATAAAATACTGGTCATGCGTTCTTTAAATTTTTTTTACTGACAAAGTTCTATCCCCATACACCAAATTTACACATCGTCAACAAAAGCACCTTTCATTAGGAAGCCTTGTAGTGAGTTCAGAAACTATCAACTGCGAATACGTCCTGATCGCATATTTCAAAGAACCTTATAACTGAAAGAACTTCGAAAAGCATTCTTTCGAAAATTTTTATCGAAGCTAAATTCCGATTCAAAATGACATCCTGACTTGCTGAATGCATTTTGAACTGCAGGAGCAGTCTGCAGAAAAAAGCGAAGAGAAGATTTGCAATCGTAATTTTTTGCTTTTCCCAACGTACAAATCGTTTTTTAAGCTGTGCATTTTACTACTCTTCGATCTTGACACATTAAGGAGTAACTGCTATTTTATCGAAATCGCTCAGCTTTTCATTATCCATTAAAATCTTCACTGTAGGTTCTCAGTTGATCACTAATTTTCATGCGACTGTCGAATTACATACTCATTGTAAAGCATCAGAAAAGTAACTAATTCTAACACTATTACTTCATCGCATGACTGATGTAATTGTTTGATATAGTTCATGCTGTTCAAAAAGGAACGTTTTCCATGATGCAATGAACACCCAGATTTAATCAAACGTTTCGTTGAACATCACTCTGTTCAGCATCCAATTTTGACCGAACTGATTGCTCGTTGCCACCTTGAGCAAGCTGTTTTATTATCAATAAAAATACCAATATATGACGGCATGAAGTACAGCAACGGAGATATTCGGAAAATGAGCAAAACGCGCTTACAAATACGTACCTTTCTTGTTGCACGTTGATAATTTAACACCCATTGTTGTTTCTTATAGATCAAGCAGTTTGCATGAGCAATTTAAAACGGTTGTTCACAACTCACAGTGTATTTTTCGAATTGAGTGATTGAATCCTTATTAATTTCGAAGAACTGCCTACATTTTTTCACTTCAGTTAATAATCAACTGCATGTAGATTTATAGGCTTGGTGAGAAATGAACACGCATTCATATGTCACATGAATAACAGAATGAATGATGCATGTGTAAAGCGTTTGCTTCTAGAGTTTCACAGTTACATTGTTACCGCTATTGCGTAGTGTTTATCGATCTTTGCTTACGGCAAAGAATACTCCATCTTGCTTGCTCCTCCTCCCTTCTACTCGTTATTGCTTCCTTCTATACCAACACCTGACTCATCTAAAACGATTCAAACGATA